TAGTGCTAATAAACACTTGAACAAAGGCAGTGATTAAGGCTTGAATAGAGGCAGTGACAACAGTAGTTGAAAAAGTGAATAGTTCTCAGGGACTGAGAGGCATGGATACCCTGTAAGGGTAAAGACTTCAAAGAGGGATAAATTAGGAAATATACATGGAGGAATGATGGTTTTGGATATGTAGAATTTGAAGCTCTGTGATGGAGATGTCTTTGGATTAAGGAGAAATGTGTTGGAAGTCAAAGGTAAAGGGTAAAATATTAATTTGGGAGTCAGTTTACATTAAGGTGAAAAACGAAGCTATGGGGGGAGTTGAGACCCCCAAGGGAGAGGTGGTTGAAGATAGAAACTAAAAAAAAAAAAAACCAAAAAACAAAAATAAACCTTTTATTTAAACTTTGTTGTATTGATTCAGTGACATAAATTAGCATGGGAGTTTTTAAAATAAATCCCACTCGATGAACTATTGTTAGCCCACGTCTTCTACAAATAGAATGAAAAGGAAATCATTCTTGGTTTTTGAATTCCAATGATTTGGCCAAAACAGAAAAAAAAAAAAAAAAAATCAAATGCCTACTACTATGAACAATGCAGTAAGAAAATGGTTGCTTATTACATTACAAAATAATTTGTGGTAGTAGTAGTAAACAGGATAGTGCTATGTAGTGCCAGGCTATATTCCAAGCGCTTTACTTCTATTCACTCAGTATAGACTAATACTGCATTCAAGGCAAGATAACTAATGCTTTATTATAGTAGTGAACAGTTTGTTTCAAAGGCATTCTTAAAAACATACAAAAACAAAGTTTTTAGGGGATGCTTTTATAGTATGAATGTGAAAAACATGGTATATTTGACCATGTACTTCCTTAAAACAATTGAAATACATTTTTGTCTCCTCTTCTGTGGTTTAAAATGCCTTCAACAGGTTGAAAGAATTTAGATAATTTGTTTTATGGAGAGATAAGGGTCTGACATTTAACACAACCCCAGGTGCATGTGGTTTCTTAAAAAATGTCAAAAAGATCACATGATTTTAGTGTACAAAGTTAGAAAAACAAGATCTTTTTGAGTGTCTTAGCAGAAATGGAGCATAAATTAAAATTTCCAATATAAAAAGCAAAAACTATTTAATTATTGTAGAGTTATTTTTTGGTTTTTTGTCCATTTTTATTAATGATGAAATAATAACATCTTGTTACATAATTTGCTAAACTCTTTATTTTAAAGCAATTCAATCCAAAGCCTAAATTTGTTATTTCCATGCTGACTTTGCAAAGTCTTCACTTTGTGTAGCACTGGGAATCATTCATGCTTTAATAAGTATATTTAAAAATTTTTGAGATATTGTAGATTTTTTAAGTGCTGGTAGATGGGTTTCATAATAATAGAAATTATTTTCTTTGTGAAGCTCTTTCACTTTTAATAATGATCTTTATTAGAACCACCCAAATTGAAAGTTGTATAGCTATGTAGTTTATCTACTATTAGAAAAGAAAATGTTCACGTATACAGTAGTTTCATGCTTAATATTTTATTTTAAATGAAAGGAATGATTATAATAAAGATCAAGATTTTTGATGTTATATCCATTTTGAATTTTTAGTGGTTAAGGAGAGTTGAACTAATGAGTTCTAGCTATTGACCTTGCTTATTTATCATAAAAAGTTCCATATTTGTTTCCATTGCTTATATTTTGATTGAAGGAAATGTGGTTAAAAACTGCATGTTATAACAAAGGAATTACTTAACTTTTTCTTTATAAGCTTACTTTCTTTTACTATATAAGTTATACCAGTTTCTTTAACATTATTATTGTTTACAAATTTATTTTATAAGCAGGAAATGAATTATCTCTTTGTCCAAAAAGGGAAGATAAATACTATGAAGACAGGTTCATAAACAAGGAAACGGTGTCATAGCTGACTTAATGGGGCCACAGATTAAATGTTAAAGTTAAGAGGACTAAAGAGTCCCTAGTTCCTCATTCTATACCCCAACGGTGCATTTTACCACAACTAAAGCCTTAAAGTCACATCCTGTATAACTCAATGGGAGTTGTATTTACTGAATTATTTCCTTGAGGGTAGATGTTTGTCATAGTTTAGTATATACCCCAGGAAAGCATAATTTTACTAAGTGTATTCATGAAGATTTGATAGGCTATAAATTAAAACATATTAATTTACTTTTTTGCACAAAAATTATAACCATTATAATGGAAATAAAGATAGCATCTGTAATTCTACCACCTTAACAAGTAAGTCCCTGTCACTACTCTCTAGTCCTCACCAAGAACTACATTTGAAATATCTGAAATTTTGATTTATATTTTTGCGGGAGTTTATTAGGGTTGAACTTCATTCATTTGTAGATTAACTTTTGAAGCGCAGGTAGCTCCTGACTGCAGAGAATATTCCCAGAAAATATGCCTACTAAGTACAGAAGAAGGAGTACCTTTTGAGATGTGTCATCTCATCAGGAAGAATTTCTGTGGGTTCCTTTGATACAGAACAATCCCAGATATCATTGACTAAATGAGATATTTAGATACTTTATAACACCTAAACAGTGGAGGACATGTTTCAGGGTTTTTTGTTTTTTTTTTAACTGGTTCTAGACTAGACTTTCTAACCTCTGTAAACCATTGGGACTTGCTCACAATTGAAATGTGTTTTTATTAGGGAGAAAATGGCACAAAAAAGGTAGAGTACCTCTTAAATAAAAGCATTGGTTTTACTGAAATTTATTCCCTTTTGATTATAGATAGCATCAGTTGGGCTTTTCATTTAAATAAACAATTAAATCTTACTGATTGCCCATAAATCTTCAAATTCAGATTTCATTCTGCTAAGAATGTAAATTCCTGAAAGATTCTCCATTTATTCATTGGTTCATTTATTCACAGAAAGTCAATTACTATAATAGTCTGATTTAGGAGTCCTAGACAATTTTTAAAAGCTTGGTTTTGTAAATATAAATGGGTTACTATTTAATAGATTAACAACATAACCTTGATTCACTTGCCTAATGAATAAGTAGCTGGACCAGGCAAGTGGAATACAGATTATTTACTGCCATATATCCAATGCTTTCAAAAAATATGATAGTCATTTTTTAGAACTAGGCTTACATAAAGTATAGTTTTCCAGAAGACATTAGGTAATCTAAAAAGTAAGTTAAGAAATACTCCAGCACTTTGGGAGGCCGAGGTGGGTGAATCACGAGGTCAAGAGATCGAGACTATACTGGTCAACATGGTGAAACCCCGTCTCTACTAAAAATACAAAAAATTAGCTGGTCATGGTGGCGCGTGCCTGTAATCCCAGCTACTCAGGAGGCTGAGGGAGGAGGATTGCCTGAACCCAGGAGGCGGTAGTTGCGGTGAGCCGAGATCGCGCCATTGCACTCCAGCCCGGGTAACAAGAGTGAAACTCCGTCTCAACAAAAAAAGAAATATTATACTTAAATGTAATTGATTTTTAAAATACCATCTCTAAATTCCTATTGGCAACTGGAAACAGTATCAAGTGTAATATAGTTTGTAGAGTAGTAGGTAAATCAAACTTGTATTTTTCCTCTAGAAGTAAACTTTATGCTAGTTATAAGATATTGGAGCTTTTTTTAGCCAAGCTTTCAAACTAAAGCCAAACCTAATAGATAATAAAACTTTAAAAAATTTGCCATTTGTGAATTCATGAGTAGTAGATTATTAGATCATTTTTGGTTGCAGTTATTTCTGTATTAGTCTACTATGTAAGCAGCATGTGAGGGGAAGTTCTGTTGCCCGTTACAGCATCAGGTGTGAGAATTAATATATAAGGTGAGTATGCCATTTGTATTTTAATATGGAACATTTCAGTTACTTTATTTGTTGAGTCAGTTTAAATACTGATGGCTATAAAACTCCATTGCTGGATATATGCCCAAAAGAAAGGAAATCAATTTATTAATGAGATAGCTGCACTTTTGTGTTTGTTGCAACTCTGTTCACAGTACCAAGATTTGGAGGCAACCTAAGTGTCCATCAACAGATGAATGGATAAAGAAAATGTGGTAGTTATATACAGTGGAGTACTATTCAGCCTTAAAAAAGAATGAGATTCAATCATTTGCTACAACATGAATGGAACTGTAGTATATTCATTATGTTGAGTGAAATGAGCCAGGCACAGAAAGATAAACATTGTATGTTCCCACTTATTTGTGGGATCTAAAACTCAAAACTCGGAACCCATGGAGATAGTGGAAGGATGGTAACAAGATGCTGGGGAAGGTAGTGAGGGAGTTGTGGGGGATGTGGGGTGGTTAATGGGTACCAGAAATAGAATGAATGAATGAATGAATGAATGAATAAGGCCTAGTATTTGCTAACACAACAGGGTGAGAATATAATTGGATTGTTTGTAACACAAAGGAAAAATGCTTGAAGGAATGGATACCCCATTTTTCATGATTTGATTGTTATGCACTGCATGCCTATATCAAAATATTTCATGTACCCTATAAATATGTATACCATGTACCCACAAAAATTAAAGATAAAAATTTTAGGAAAGCTCTCTAGGTTATTACAAAGTGCAGCTAAGCCCCAAGACTGCTGTTTAAACCAACATCATTTGTTGAACTAGTTGCAAATAAATGTAAAAACATTTGCTGCCAATAAATGAATATATGCTGATGGCTGTCGATGATGAAAAATGATAAACCATGACTTTTCTGCTATTCCTTTATATATTAAAAATGAAGTATATTTAATTTTATCTTATGTATTTCAATAGCACACCCTATGGAATTTCTAAAAACTCCATATTTTCTCAGCAAGATCCTAATTAGTTAAAAATTTAGTATGTCAGTATTTCAACATAGACTATACTCTAGTTCGAAAAGAGAAGAAATGAATTGACACCTCAAACGGCTTTTTGATCCTCTTAACAATCTCTCTTTTTATAAGGCACAAGAATTCAAGTTTATCAGCCTTTTTTTTTTTCATCTTACAGGAACACCAGTGTATTCAGTAGCATGGGGCCCTGATTCAGAAAATGTTCTTTTTACAGCAGGAAAGCAACTAATCATTAAACCTCTTCAACCAAATGCTAAAGTTTTACAGGTACTTCTCAGTCATTTGTAAATTGTTATCAGGATCTGCCTGACTGGTAAACTAAAGGGCACTTGCTTAGGAGTCTCTTTCTTCTGGGTGGTCTTTTTACAGTCTGGTCTTTAAGTTTATGGTTTAATCAGCCTTTATTACAGAACAAGGAATATCTTTATATTTCCAACAAGGTTTGTTTTTCCCTTATTCCAACTTATTTTGATAATGATACAGTGAGTTTTACTAATAAGAACAGACTTTGGAGTTAGCCACTTGGGTTCAAATCTTAGTCAGGTTATAAAATATCGTTGAACCTCAGCCTTCTCGTTTCTTAGGTAGTGACACTAATATCAGTTTAACAGGGTTGCTGTGATGATTAGATGAGTTAAATCGCAAAGTACAAAGGACAGTTCCTGGCATACAGTAACCACTCAATATAGAATACCTGTTATTATCTGTATTATTATGTGATTATAAGTTATTATGCCATTTCTATCTTTTAGTCAACCAAGGAGGCCAGGAAAACATTGTAGAATGACTAGGACTTGAGTAAGAGATTTGTTGGTAGACATTGACAGGCTACAGCAGGTATAGAAGTGTTTAACAGTTTAGTAAATGTAGATTTCAGGGAATAAAGACATAGAGATGACTTTGAGGCTCCATATTAATAACATCTGTATAGCTTATGCTATATGTATTTTATGCAGTCCACATACATGTACATTTTTACAGTGTGCAGAACACTCTTCTAGGAACTATAGGGTCATGCAAGAAGAGAACATACAAGCCCCTGTCCTTAGGGACCTAATGTAAAGAATTTGGGCAAAGGGAAGAAGCTGGGAAAGAGGACTAGTTCTGGTGGCCCTTAGTCAAAGTCCTTCCATGCTAATTACCGATGCTGAAAATGTGCTATGAAATTTATACGGCAAAATAGGCAAGGTGAATCTCTGAGTTTATACCTTTAGTTTATAGTTATGTGAATTTGTTTAGGTATCTGTAATTAGGTTTGTATAAATGAAACTCAGGGAGCTGATTATATCACCATTGGTCAAGTACAACATGATTTAATGATTCAGTAGAACCTGTGGGCCAGGAGGTAGTAAAGAGAAGGAAAGTATCCAAAGCCAAAATTCAGCTAGAGAGAAACAGGAGTTAAAGTATAATTAGTAACTTCATGCAAATTATCTGTTCCTTTTGGGAGACTAAAGCAGCTGCAATTCTTCTTGAACATAAAAACATATTCAAATTAGGATTGTCCACAAAAAAGTGTGTTTAATTAATTCTTGCTTGTGGAATGCAGTTCAGACATATATACCTCATTTCCTTTAAGACCTTCTCGACACCCAGAACTTGGCTTTATAGTGAGGACATTTTTATTTTTTCATGGAATAAAAATGTAGTGCATACCTTTTATATACCAGGCACTGTGGTATCAGATAGTCAAAATGAAACAGAACATCGTTTCTGCCTTCAAGGAGCTTATTGTTCAAGGGAATTTTACAAAATGCCTAATAAATTAATAAATAAATAAAAATTAGTATATGCATAACAGTATGCTATTATCTGTAATACATGTTGATATCCTAAATTACAGTGCAAGAAAAATTTAAATCATATTTTGTTCATAGATCTTGAATAGGCAAATACTTATTTTGTTCCTTTAAAATGAAACTCTTAAGAGTCTATGGCTGGGCATGGTAGCTCATGCCTGTAATCCTGGCACTTTGGGAGACTGAGGCAGGTGGATCATCTGAGGTCAGGAGTTTGAGACTAGCCTGATCAACATGGCAAAACCCCATCTCTACTTAAAATATAAAAATTAGCTGGGCATGGTGGCAGGCGCCTGTAATCCTAGCTACTTGGGAGGCTGAGACATGAGTATCGCTTGAACCTGGGAGTTGGAGATTGCAGTGAGACGAGATCGTACCATTGCACTCCAGCCTGGGTGACAGTGAGACTCTGTTAATAAAAAAAAGAATTTGTATGTATATGTGTAGCTGTATATGTTGTTATATTTGTCCTTGAAGTGTATTTCAGGATATTGGATTAATTTGACAGTTAATTGTAAGAACTGTTGCTTTTCAACATGTATTATCAAAACTTTTCTTTGAAAATGTGTATTTTTGTATATTTTGAATAAACCAAGTTATGAATTGTTACTTATTCTTAGAGCTTATTTGGCTCACATTCAATACTTTGTACTGTATACATTGAGAACAATAGATTGAGCAGGGCCTGAGGGGAAAGCCCTTAAAATCTGAAACCCTTTGAAATGGAGTTAATTGACTCAGACATTAAAATATACCTTATAGACTTCAAAGATGGTTCTTTTTTTTTTTTTGAGACAGAGTCTCGTCTTGCTCTGTCACCAGGCTGGAGTACAGTGGTACAATTGGCTCACTGCAACCTCTGCCTCCTGGGTTCAAGTGATTCTCCTGCCTCAGACTCTGAGTAGCTGGGACTACAGGCATGTCCCACCACACCCAGCTAATTTTTGTATTTTTAGTAGAGACAAGGTTTCACCATATTGGCCAGGATGGTCTCCATCTATTGACCTCATGATCTGCCCATCTTGGCCTCCCAAAGTGCTGGGATTATAGGCATGCGCCACCAAGGCCAGTTAATTCTATTTAGTTACATTATTCTGCCTATGGTAACATTTAATTACATGTGACATAATAGCTAAATGGGCCCATTAATTATATTTAAGAGCAAGACATCCATGTTTAAGAGCAAGGCATTCATGTTTACTTTCTAGATTGCCGGTTTCTTCTTGACTTAAGAACACCCATGTCTATGCATTGTATGTACAGTCAGCGTAACCGTGGGTTCTGTACTGATAGATTAACCATGAATCAAATATATTTTTTAAAAATTGCATCTGTACTGAACATGTATAGACTTTCTTCTTGTCATTATTCCCTAAACAATACAACTGTTTACATAGTATTGCCATTTTATTCATATAATAAGTAATCTAGAGATGATTTAAAGTATATGGGAGGATATGCATAGGTTATATGCAAATACTATGCCATTTTATATTAGGAAAACTTGTTATTTTCATGTCACTGGGAGGTCCTGGAACCAGTCCCCCACAGATACCAAAGATTGACTGTATACATAGAATATATACTTGTCTATGGAAAACATCTTTTTGTTACATGGTAAATACAGAAGAAGTTTCTCAGAGTAGTCCCATTGTGAACAGACACATGAAGGTAAAGTGAATGAAACTTAGAAGAATATGATGAACAGAATGAAATGAAGAGAGTATTAAAGATGTTTGTGCAGAAGGTTTTCTAAAAAAAGGTTGGGAGCTAGACATGGTGGCTCACACCTGTAATCCCAGCATTTTGGGAGGCCAAAGCTGGAGAATTGCTTGAGCCCAGGAGTTTGAGACTAGCCCAGGCAACATAGCAAGACTTCTCTACTAAAAATGAAAAAAAGAAATTAGCTGGGTGTGTTGGCACACGCTTGTAGTCCCAGCTACTCAGGAAGCTGAGGTGAGAGGATTGCTTGAGCATGGGAGGTTGAGACTGCGTTAGCCCTGATCATGCCATTGAACTCCAGCCTGTGTGACAGTGAGAACCCATCTCAAAAAAAAAGTAAACAAGCATGAAGGCAATAGCAGTAATGGGATCTGCTATATGAAGGAGACAGCAAGATTTGGATTCAGTTGACATTTTTGGAATACATAACATATTCATTTGGTGTTATCACACAAATGTCAAGCTTGAAATAGTTCAGCAGCCAGTGATTTTCCATCTGGAGTCCAGGCAACTGAGGAAATTCATAAGATTGGAAGCTATTTAGTGAGTATTATAGGTGCCAACATTAGCGTAAATTGCAAATGAAACAAGCAAATGAGGTATTGTACAATAGCTATAAAAGGAAGATAGGAATCCCTGAGAAGATGACAAGGGAGTCATTAAAAAGAGGCAAAGTATATTTTCTTATAGAAAAAAACTTAAATGCTTTTAAAGTTATAATTAATATCTTATTTATTTTCTCACAGTGGAAAGCTCATGATGGCATTATTTTAAAAGTAGATTGGAACTCAGTCAATGATCTTATTTTATCTGCTGGTGAAGACTGTAAATATAAGGTATGTAATGTTTAGATTTATCACTACTGAAATAATCAAATTTATATGAAAAGTTTTTAGTATATAAGAATGTTCTTTTACTTTAGCCATGTCTTTATACTCTAGTAATTTAGCAAATTATTTTATAATGTTAAGTGGTGTTTAAAAGCACAGACTTCATAAATACTCTCATTAGCCTGGACAATATAGTGAGACACTATCTATAAAAAAAAAAAATTAGCCAGGTGTGGTGGGGCACATCTGTGGTTCCAGCTACATGGGAGGCTGAGGTAAGTGGATCACTTGAGCACAGGTGATCGAGGCTGCAGTGAGCCATAATTGTGCCATTGCATTCTAGCCTCGGTAACACAGTGAAATGCTCTGTCTCTCAAAAAAAAAGAGAAAGAGACTATCTCATTGATCTATAGAGTTGGATATTTAATAAGTAACAATATCAGCATAGCCCCTAATTTTACTGTGACTCAATTTAAGTCAATTCAGTGCATTTTTAAAAATTAGCCCTGCTGGTTTACTAAATATTGATTAATTTCAAGTCAAAATAATTTGTAGAGAAGAATAAGGTTTAATATATAAATAACTAGAGTTAGAGCCAATTAAATTGAAGTAAATAGGTTTAGAGAAAGTAGGTAGAGCCCTTACAGGGTGAAAAAAATTTAAGCAAAATACTAAGCAAGCTAGGTATGATAGCTCATACCTGTAACCCCAGTGCTTTAAGAGGGCAAGGCAGTAGGGTTACTTGAGGCCAGGAGTTGGAGAACAGCCTAGGCAATATAACAAGACTCCGTATCTACAAAAATTAAAAAATTAGCCAAGCATGGCAGCATATACCTGTCAAAACGTACTATTAAATTTAAAAGGACTTAAAATTGATAGATTTTATGTTCAGAGATTAAGTAAAATCTGAAAATTTTGACAATGTTATAAAATAGTTTCTTTTTGAGATATTTAGGCTTCAAGAAATACAGCTTTGTTTTCCCCTCATGTGATGGTAAAGATGTTTAATTGCAAATAAATAAGGTGCTGATTTCTTAATTTTTATTTGCTACCTTACTGGAAGACAAACTTGTTTTTCTGTGGTGTCTGTTATAAAATATTTTTATTTTATTCATGTATTTTTCTTTCAGTTTTGGCAAATTTCTCCCTGATATTATAAAAGATTTTTAAAAATTGCTTTTGTAGGTATGGGATAGTTATGGCCGCCTCCTGTACAATTCACAACCTCATGAGCATCCTATTACTTCAGTTGCCTGGTCTCCAGATGGAGAATTATTTGCTGTTGGATCATTTCATACTTTACGCTTGTGTGATAAAACTGGGGTAAGTTATAGTGGTGAGCAATCACGGATGTGCTGTCATAAATGTGGTAATGCACAACACACATGGTTCTCAGTCTTTAAAAAACATTGTCAATGGATGCGTTTGGTTGAATCTTTCTAATTTGTCTTCTTAATATGCTGGTTTAATCAATTCCAGATATATGGGACCAAAATCTGTTTAAGTTTGAAGAATGGAGCACATTCTCTACTTTTTTTTTTTCTGGAAATACTTATTTTGAGCATGATTGTGATGGGGGTAAAGTATTAAAATGCCCATTCAGTATGGACAATTCAGGTTTAAACTTTTTTTCTAAGCTTTCACTGACTTGAAGCTCCGAAACTTTTTTTTTTTTTTTTTTGCTGTCAATATGTTTCATATGAAATCTGAATTGCATATTTTTTTGTAAGGAATTAATAGTGCATTTGAAAAATTGTCATTTTAAGACCAGAGGACATGGCTGGATGTGGTGTTTTATGCCTGTAATCCCAGCACTTTTGCAGTCCAAGGAGGGAGGATTGTTTGAGCCCAGGAGTTTGAGACCAGCCTGGGTAACAAACTGAAACTCTGTCTCTACAAAAACATAAAAAAATTAGACAGGCATGATGGCGCATACCTGTGGTCCCAGCTACTGGGAAGACTGAAATGGGAGGCTCACTAGAGCCTAGGAGGTGGAGGCTGCAGTGAGCTGTAATCATGCTACTGTACTCCAGCCCGAGTGAGAATTAGACCCTGTCTCTAAATAAATAAATATCTAAAGGACATAGTTTTCTTTGTCAAGAATTCGTGTTTGAATATATGCAAGAATTTTTCCTCACAAGAGAATATGCCCTCCTTCATACAAATTCTGTTTAGAACCTAGGAAATAGCCAAGCTCAGCAGTATTTACTCATTGTACTTGAATAAATTTTCATTGAAGTACTGCCATAGCAGCAGCATTATGTGGTAAAAAGAGTTTGAGTGGGGCTGTTTAATACTATTCCTAATTGAGGAAATCATATAATTATTCTGTGGCTTATTTGCCCCTAATACAGAAAAAGACAGTTAGAATTTTAGAGCTTAATCTGTTAAGATTTCTGGTTACTTGTTTTCTACCACATAAAATATGAAGTCCTCTGCCTGGCTTTAGAAGCTCTTTGAAACCTGATGCCGTAAAATCCATTTAGTCTTTTCTCCCACAACTCTCTAACTGTGTTCAAATCACACTGAATACTGGCTCTCGAACCTTTCCTGCCTCTTACTAACATCCCCACTCATTTTCTCGTTTCATGAAATAGTTTGATTTTTGTCTTAGACAATAGTGAGTTCTACCCGTTTTTTTTTTTTTTTTGAGACGAAGTTTCGCTCTTGTTACCCAGGCTGGAGTGCAATGGCACGATCTCGGCTCATCGCAACCTCTGCCTTCTGGGTTCAAGCAATTCTCCTGTCTCAGCCTCCCGAGTAGCTGGGACTACAGGTACACACCACCATGCCCAGCTAATTTTTGTATTTTTAGTAGAGACGGGGTTTCACCTCATTGACCAGGATGGTCTCGATCTCTTGACGTCGTGATCCACCCGCCTCAGCCTCCCAAAGTGCTGGGATTATAGGCGTGAGCCACCGCGCCCTGGTGTTCTACCCATTCTTAAAATCCTGTCTCATGTTTGACTTCCTTTGAACGTGCCTTCCATTGACTCCAAAGTTTGTATATTTTTCTAATTTCTTTTCTGCTAGGTCCCTCTTTTCTCAATTACATCAGGATGTTAAATCATCCCATCTAATCACTTAAGAAGCTTTTACCTCTGATTTTCCCTATCAGTGATTGTAAATCTATAAAATGCGTAGTCTCATTTTCACAATGTATTATGTTCTTACATTGTCCAAATAGTTTCATGTATATTATTTTTGACTCCCTTGGCTATAAAATCCCATAGTTCAATGATTCTCTATTATCTGTACAACACAGTAGATATTCAACAATTTATTAATAAGTCAATTTAAACATAATTTTACTTTATCATTTTGATTAAAGTATTTAAAAATTTTAAAAACTTGAATTAAAGATTTACTTCATTAAGCACCAAGTCTTTTTATTTAGGATGTTAATAACATCTATCTTTTATTCAATAAACGTTAAATATATACTACTCATCAGACAGTGTTCTAGAAACTGGGGTTATAAATAAGAAAAAGATATAAAGACTTTCACCCAAGTTGTTGACAGTCTAGTGGAGAATTAGACTAAAAGACTTACAGTAACTATGATAAGTGCTATACAAGAGGTTTTTTCATACAAACACTGCAAATATGTGGCAGAGCCTAACTCAGCCTGTGGGACGTTTCTTCAAGAGCAGAACCTTGAAGAATTAGTAATTCTCCAAGGAGATAAAGTTGGGGGAAGAGAGTTGCAGGCAAAGGAAACCTCTTGTGAAGCAAAGTATAAAACAGTATGGTGCTTTTTGTGCAATTTCTGTAAAATATTCATGGCATAATACCTGGAGATAATTCAGAAAAGATAGATGGACTGAAGTGTTTGCTATGTAACAGAATCCAGATTTCAGTCTTTTAAAATCTAATTATGTTCTGTGGGGGCTCCTTTGGGGCTGCTGTGGGGTGGAAAAGAGGTGAGGGAGTTGAGCTCCTGATCTCTCTCACTACCTGCAACGAGAGCAGCTCCAATTATACTGTTTCAGCATCTAGTATAAGATTTTCTTTGAACAGCTGAAATAGTGAAGTTGGAAATTGAATATATTAGTCAGTAGAGAGCCATGGATTGTGTGTAGTAACATGATAGTATTTAAATGTTGGAAATACTGCTTTGAGGTCAAAGGAACAGTGATTCAAGAGAGGGAATAAACAAAGGTAAGGAATAATAGTATATTAGAAAAATTAAAAATTTAGTGTGCTACAATAGTTTGGAGTTTATCTTAGGGGCAATGGTGAGTCACTGATCCATTTTAGATAGTTACCTTATTAGATTTGGCATTTTTGGGGAAGCATACTCTAAGATCATCATAGAGGATAGATTAAAGGTACACTAGAGGCAGAATGGCTAATTAGGAGCTGTTGTAGTACAAGAAAATGATGATGTTGGCCTGAATAATAGGGAAGTAATGGAGATGGAGAGAAAGAGGTTCAGGAGATAAATCCTTGGTGTATAAGTAGAAAGAGTCAAGAATAATTACCTGAGTATCTATTCAAGTACTTTACTGTTTGGAGGTTGGCCTGAGAATAATGCCCTTTCATGACGTAATGCCCTATTCAATCATTACAATAGTAAACCAAGTTACCTAAATTTCAGCATTCATAAGCATCACCTGGGTATTATAAAAATACACATTCTTGTGCACCGTTTGCAATATGGAGAATCAAAATCTCCGAGAATGAGGCTCTCTAAAGTGATATATTTAGGAAGTTTCCTAGTTGTCTTTATGCAGGTTGTCCTTAGAGGGCACTTGAAAGAAGACTTAGTGAGATGTTTGATATTCCTTTTGAGTTCTGAAAGGAGCAATGCTTACTCTATTGTAGAAAAAAACACCTTGAATTTGGAGATGAAATAGTAAACTATAATTCAGGTGATGCCAAAAAAGAATAGTATAATAGAAAAAATACATTTCTTTAAAATCTCAGGTAATTTATTCTTCTGATTTGTTCTAAGCATGTTCTTCATTTAAAATTACTGTTGGGGGCTGGGTGCGGTGGCTCATGCCTGTAATCCCAGCACTTTGGGAGGCTGAGGCGGGTAGATCACGAGGTCAAGAGATCGAGACCATCCTGGTCAACATGGTGAAACCCCATCTCTACTAAAAATACAAAAAATTAGCTGGGCATGGTGGCATATGCCTGTAATCCCAGCTACTTGGGAGGCTGAGGCAGGAGAATTGCCTGATTCCAGGAGGTGGAGGTTGCAGTGAGCCGAGATCGTGCCATTGCACTCCAGTCTGGGTAACAAGAGCGAAACTCCGTCTCAAAAAAAAAAAAAATTACTGTTTGGTTATGTCTGCCTTTTTGCTGCAGCAAAAGTGTTTATAGTATATGAATCATATGTGCAATGATACTATCTATTAATATTCTAGACTGATTCTTTCAGAATAACTAGTTGTAAATACTATTCAAACACTTTCATTCGTTGAATTATCAATAGATTTTTTGTTTCATTTTCTGCCTTGTGTATTTCCACAAAAGTATTTGGAATTCATTTATGCAATCATTTTTTTTCTTTTTGCAGGGTTTTTATTAATCCTGTAACATATACAGTTATCATTTAGATTTTTATGAGTTACTTAATATTTAGATTTTTATGACTTCATGTGTTATTTATCTGTGTGTATGCATATATATGTATGTACATACTCTGTATATTTGTTCAAATCTTTCTGGAGGATATGTTGACATTATATATCAAAAACCCAAGAAATATACATATACTTTAACCCAGCAATTCCAGTTCTAGGATTTATCCTAAGGTAACAATAAGATAAAGAATGCTCAGTTGAGCTTAAATTATAAAATTATTTATAATTTAACAAATGAAAAGCAATCTAAATCTCTTAACAGCAAGATATTATTTAATTATAGAATATAAGCCTTATAATAAATTATTATATAGTTATTAAAAATGATTTTATAATGCCATGAAAATGTTTTAAAATATATGACCACAAGAAAAAAATAGTTACAAACTTTATGCATATTATGATCTTATTAGTACATATCTGTATAAATGAACAGAAAAATAATCTGACATGATATAACAAATTTTAACAATGGTATGTCTCAAGTTTGTTGATTTGGTCACAGGTGGTGATAGTGATTTTTCTTCTTTTTTGCATATCTACATTTTCTAAATGTACATTTTTTAGATAAAATGTATAGTTTTTGAAAAAGGAAAAAATAGTTTTATTCTTTTAGTTTTCACTAGATTCTATAATCATGTAATTCAGCCTTTCTCTTTTAAAAAATTACTATTTTTGAAGCTATCCAATTTATTTTAGAAATACGTACTAGTTAAATCATGGGAAATT